TCACCTTCATCGAAAATTGAATAAATAAGTTAATAGTGCCCACACTGAGCACTGTATACACAGCAGACACTTATTATATGCAGTACCTTGTTTAGTTTTTACAATTCTTGAGTTAGATGCCATCATCCGAAATGTTCAGAGAGCTTGGTTAAAAGGACGCTGGAGCAGAGAGCTGGCTGTAGGGCTGCGAGTGCCCACATCCCACGTTAAAGAGGGTGCCAATTCCCCACCCCCTGACCCCACACCCCCCTGAGCCTCAGGACTCGTCCCTCCAAACCTTCATTTCCTCATCTGTACATTGGGGGTAGCAACAGCATGTGGGTCATCATGAATAAGCCTGGCCCTCCACACACGACACCTGGCATCTGAGGAGCTCGATATTTGCTATCAGGTGGTTTGTGTTTTAAATATATGGCACGAGCCAAAACTGGTTTGGCTCGGTGGATAGAGCATCTGTCTGCGGACTGAAGGGTTCCGGGTTCGATTCAGGTCAAGGGCATGTACCTTGGTTGCGGGCACATCCCCAGTAGGGGATGTGCAAGAGGCAACTGATTGATGATTCTCTCTTATCGATGTTTCTAACTCTCTATCCCTCTCCCAGGAAGACACTGGATTAAAATCGTATACCTATGGATGAGGACAATTGGGGGGGGGGGGGGGGGGGGGAAGTAAGGGCAGAGGGTAGAGTGAGAATCGGGTGGAAGGGAGCTATGGGGGGAAAAAGGAGAAACAACTGTAATATTATGAGCAATAAAGATTTATTAAATTTGAAAAAAAATAAAATTAAGAATAAATGATTTAATATGTGTAAAGTCCTTAAACGTGTCAGGCGCATCATAAGGACACAATACAACCATTGATAGTAATATTATTACCACAGTGCCACACAAAGGGGACCCTACCGGAGGAGTGTTGGGTACATCTGGCCGGGGAGGGGTGGGGGGCTGAGGTGCAGAATGTAAGCTGACCCAGCTCCTGGGGTGTGGATGCCATCAGAAGACAGTGGTCACTGCCCACCGTCACTGCAATGCCCATCCTCCTGCCTCCGCTGCTTCTTAGGGGAAATACTCTGCTCCTCTCTTTTCCCAACACCGAAAGCTGACACATGCCCTCTGGCTACTTAGCTCCATGGACATTCATACAATGTTAAAAAACAAACAAACAAAAAACAAGAAAAGATCATGCGAATAAAGCCATCCTGCAGGGCCTCCTGGCTGGCTCCCAATCAAGACGCCCGGGCCCGGCACAGGCAGGTCTGGAACCGCGGTGACGGCGCCGTCCCTGTAATCGCGCAGAGGTGCGGGCAGTTGTCCTCGGCACCCGCCTGGCCCTTCTGTGCGGATGACAGTGACAGAAGCAGCCATGTGTGCATCTGTTCGCCACGCTCCCAGGACTCTGTTCCCCATCACCCAGCCCGACTGGCCTGACAGCTTCTAATTTTGTCCTGTTTCCCCCCCAGCCACTGACATGGCTCAGTCTATAAGCCTGGCTCTGAATACAGACTAAAGATATCAACTTATCTACATCAATTTACATTCTGTCCATTTCACACAGAGCCTAAGGATGCAGCCTACAGCTACAATAAAGACCAACCCACTTATTCTTCATGTGAAATCATGGCAAAAGGCAGCTGGGAAAGTGATCCAGTCCCCAAAACATGTGATCCAGAACAGCTCATCTGGAAGGCCCCTCAGAGCACATCTGGTCCAAGTCCCCATTAAACAAAGGGAAAACATACACACCTGCCAGCATCAGCATGATTTTATAGTAACCGTCAAAATTGTTATGCCAGCAAAACCCTCTGTAACTTAAATGGCTATATTTGCAACTGTAGTATAAATGTGAGGTCTTGTAATAGCTTCAGGTATTAAACCCTTTTAAATGCAAAAGGTAATGGTCAAAATATTATATTGCACCTGCAGTTCAAAATGCATCCCAGCTTCCCCACTGGAGCGGACAGCTGTGCTTCTCATCTACATGCCAGCATCCTTTTAACTGGAATCAGGCCAGAGCTGCCAATCATGAAGCCCCACCTCCCTGCCCCACAGGATGTGCATGTGACCTAAAGTGGGCCAATCAGAGTCATAGGAAATGATTGACACTAGGGAACCAGGGCTCTCTCTTCCCCTGGGATCGAGACCCAGCAGAACCGTCATGCCTGGACCATTTCTCCTGCTGTACAGAGGCCACCTGAGGCCAACCCAGAGGAAAGAGAGAAGGAAAATACTCAGCTAGCGGCCCCTGCACTGCCCAGGCCAGAGCCAGGCTTTCCCTTTTTGCTGCAATGGAAGTGAGTTTGCCAACAAAATAATTAGAACCAATACTCTCAACCGTAGGTTCCCACCCAAAAAAATCTCCCTCATATTTCCCCAAATCACCCTCATTCACTGGCCCACTTAACCAAACTGAAGAGAGTTCTAGATTAAAAGGAACTTGGTCAAAGGCTGGCGGGGACAGGATTTGCTTTGGGGGTGATAGAAAGTTGTGGAGCTAGACAATGGTGATGATTGCACAACGCTGCAAATGTACTTAATGCCACTGGGTCGTTTGCTTCAAAATGGCTAAAATGATCCATTTTGTGTTATTGCATTTTATTAAGGCCATCTGTAAGATTCAAAGCACTGCCCTCCTGGACATACCCTGGCAAACATTCTCTCCCTGCTTGTTCCCTTTCCTCCTGGCCACTGGGCCGGCCGACAAAGAGAGCTAAGTGTAGATGGCAGAGTTCAGCAGGAGACCTTGGCCATGGAACATGGATTCTATTGCATTTTTCATTCTGCTGCCATAAAGAAGACTCCCCGCCCCCGAAAGATGGTTAACCATTAAAACCACCTATTGAGCACTTACTATGTCCCAGGCATGGTGCTAACCCTTTCAGAAGGTAGTCTGATAACCCCTGACAACCGCGCCTATTAATTCTGGAACCCCACCTCCTGAAAATGTATTCCAAGGAAACAATTCATTGGGAGAGAGAAGGAAGCTGTACTAAAATGTTGGTTGAGAAGAAACCGGTTTGGCTCAATGCATAGAGCATCAGCCTGCGGACTGAAAGGTCCCAGGTTTGATTCTGGTCAAGGGCACGTATTATACATTGGTTGCGGGCACAGCCCCAGTGAGAGGTGTTCAGGAGGCAGCTGGTCGATGTTTCTCTCGCATCGATGTTTCTAGCTCTCCATTCCCTCTCCCTTCCTCTCTATTAAAAAAAAAAAAATCAATAAAATATATTTTTTTTAAATGTTGGTTGAAACATTCCTTATAAAAATAAAAATGGGAAATAACTCAAGAGGCCAACAAAAGGGGAACACTTAGTGCATCACAGTGCACTTGTGAAACGGGTGGCCACCATCACAGAGGCTCTGCAGCCGCATAATTTATGCCATTATATTAAGTAAAAAAAAAGAAAGAAAGAAAGAAAGAAAGAAAGAAACCAACTAGAGCGTGATAGCAGGCTATAGCTGCATCAATGCACAGAGGTGGGGGAGCTCGCCCACACAGCTGGTAGGGAAGATGGAAAAATAGGCCGAGATAATGGAATGACAGGAATTTTTGTCTTTCTTACTATTTTTTAAATAAAAGCTTTATTTTGGGACAATTTTCTATTTACAGAAGAGTTGCAAAAGACTGTACCAAGAGTTCTCATCTACCCTGCACCCCAACTTCACAATTATTAACATCTTGTGTTACTGTATGCTCGCCACCACTAAGAAGCCAGAACTGGAACACTGCTGTAACTCAGCTCCAGACTTCATCCCCATTTCCCCAGTTTTTCTGTACTAGGAGCCAACCCAGGATACCATGCGGCATACAGTCTATTTGTGTGTGTATTTTGTTTTGTTTTACAATTCAATGGCTTTGGATATATTCACAGATGTACAACCATCACCACAGTCAATTTTAGAATCTTCTCATCATCTGAAAAAGAAACCCCTGCCGGTTAGCTACCACACCTCCCTACCATGGGTTTTGAGAAATCCTTTTGCAAAATGGAGAACCCTGACCTAGGTGGTTTGGATAGAGCATCAGCCCGCAGACGGAAGGGTCCTAGATTCAATTCTGGTCAAAGACATGTACCTTGGTTGCAGGCACATCCCCAGTGGGGAGTGTGCAGGAGGCAGCTGATCAATGTTTCTCTTTCATTGATGTTTCTAACTCTTTATCCCTCTCTGTAAAAAATCAATAAAGTATTTTTTTTTTTTTAAAGGAGAACCCTTTGCTAAGTCAGCTCCCTTTCCTTAGTCTTTCTTTCTGGAATTCAGAGTTTCTTTTCTCAGCATGACGCCACGCCCTAGCCCCAACCTGGGGAGTGTCCAATACTGTCCATTTTCATTATGTCCAGAATGGAAAAAAACTTTACAATAGAAAGCTCTACCAGGAGACAGTTCAGAAGCCCAGAGACAAAACCAAGGGCCCGCCTATCCCTCCTCCCTTTCAGTCAAGTAGGGACTTGGGAATAAGTCAGCCCGGGCCAGTGCCCAGCTACCCAGTCTAGGCATCTGTGCCATTGCTGACAGAACCTCTGTCATTCCATAGCCACCAACATTTTCATAAAGCCCCCGCTGGCCCTCATAATGACATTTATTCATTCAAAAAGTGTTACGGAGTACCTACGGTGTGCAAGGCACTGTTCAGAGAGGGCACACATGACTTTTCACCTCGGGTCCTCATGGCCACCACTGGAAGTCAACCAGGCTCAGTCATGATCCAAACGGGTAGTGGCCACCACTCCAGCCATCCCTTTAGTCCCCTCTCCCCGAGCCATCTGTCCCAACCTCCAAGGTGAGCTGCCAGCAGCCATGCTGCTGGTGGGTGATGGGTCACAAATGCAGTTACCTGCCCCCTCGCCCGCACTCCGGAAGCAATGGCAGCCTTTCCCCCGTGGTTTGAGACAAAGCACTGCGTGCTGAAGTCCCAGCTAAGTCCCAGCCCCAGGAGCCAAACGGCCCTCTCTGTCCCTGCTTGGGTGCGGCCCCCAGGTCCAGAAGGAACACGAGGCCGATTACCTGCACGACCTCCTTCACCAGGGTCTTGTCTGTGCCGGTCTTGGCTCGCTGCAGCCCGCTGACATTCTCGCCGATCCACGTGATGAGGGCGAACTTGGACCTCTTGCTCATGGCGTCCCCGGTGGTGAAGCGCACGAAGGCGAACAATCGGATGTCATCTGTGGCCAATGGCAACGAGAGGGCAAAGAGCTCGGTTAAAACACCCCAAAAACACATCTCTGAGGAGGGGCTGTACGTCACAGGTGCACCCTGATTAGTGCGACGGGGGCCCAACACTGACCTTGGCCAGCATTCTGTCACGTGACCCTGAAAACAGCACCGAGACTTTGATGCCTACTTCACGGATGGGAAATGGAGGCTCAGCGGGGTCACCTGACACTCCCAAGGCCGCAGAGATCACTGGAAGCCACGCTAGCTGGGAACCCAGCCTCTCTGGCTGCTACACCTGCAACCCTCCCATCCCTCATGTCAAAGCTCACGCTCTAGATCTCACTGAGGGAGAAGTTCCTCAACCCTTCTCATCCCCAGCCTTTGACTAGGAATGGGGGAACCACATGGCAACGGGAACTGGGCTGGGGGGGAGGCTGGCCTGGGATACAGCTCTGGGCCCTCTGGGCATGTCTAGCTTATGGCTGGAGAGTTGGGCCATTAAGAATTCTTAATATTCTCAAGAAAGAAAAGAATTATTAATATCCTTCCATTAGCGGTGTTCTGCGTGTTGCAGCTTATATATTCATTTCTACAAAATGACTCTCGGGACTACTTTGTTCCATGGATCTACGTTTCCATTTCATTTCGTTACCACACTTTTCTCATTGCCGTCAGCTCAGAATTGCTTCCAGTCCACCCTGCTAAGTTCCCAACCACCACTCTCTGCATCGCCAAAGCATTCTTGAGTTTTTAAGAGTTTTTGAATGTGTGTACGTGTGTGTATATGCCCCACTAGGATAGACTAGGTTGGCTCCACCTCGGCACTCCTGGCACTCGGGGCGGATCACTCTGTGGTGGGCACCCTGGGCACTGTAGGACGCTGAGCAGCACCCTGGCCTCCACCCGCTAGATGCCAGTATCACTCCTCCCCCAGCCCATATGACACCAAGAACAGGTCCAAACATTGCCCAATGTCCCCTGGGAGGCAGAACCACCCCTAGCTGGGAACGAATTTCTAGATATGGTTTGTGTTTTCACTTAATCGGGTCCTTTGTGTTTTCCACTGAGATTCGGTGCTTTTCATTGAGAAATCACATATCCTTGCTCTGCTTAATCCCAGCAGAGTTCATATTGTAACTGTGCTGACCAGTGAGAACTTATTACAGTCCCTAACTGGCCAAGGCAGGCGCGTGGGATGCTACTGGTTTGGGTTATTAATGAGCTGCTCTGCTCAGCACCGATGCTCTCTCTTCATGGCTCTTAGTTGTTAGCTTTAGGATCTCTCGGGGACCCACTGACAGTGCAGAGCTGTGCTTCTCGTGTACATTCGAGTCGTGGGGGTCTCGCTAAAGCAGATTCTGATTCAGCAGATCTAGGTGGGGCCCTGGCGTCTGCCTTTCTAACTGGAGCCGAGGTAATGCTGAGGCATTTGAGGTGTTTAATTTATTCTTCTTAAAATCAAGGTGCCTTTCTTCCTATAATCTTTCTGGGTGCCTCCATGCTGAATCCCACACAACGTATAGGTTTATAGTGAGATACTGAGACCATTAGCCCCCTGAGAGTCATGGAGACACAATATGGAACTGATCAAGTTCATTGCCTGGTTCCTGCCTCAAAGCCCAGCACTGTCAGACAACTCCACTGTCTAAGAGGGACCCATCTGTCCCAGGGACGCTGGGACACAGTTCTCAGCAGTCCAGCCTCCTGCCGCGGACTCTACAGTCCAGGCCACAACGCTGATTTCTTAAAGGAAACATCCATCATGATGAGCATTCACACTGGCACAGCATCGTTATTTATAAAGCACATTTGGTTTACTATTTCATTTGGTCTTCGTACGGTGATGGGGGGAGGGGGCAAGGGGGGGTACTGTCATCACCTTCATCAGCATCCAATCCCCATTTGATGGATGAGGCTCCAAGTCATGTGGCTCACCCAAAGTCACATACTAATAATGACAAAGCTGGACTTGAAGCCAAGGATGGGGATAACTCAGGTGTGTCTGCCCACTGGCCACACAAGTCCAGAGGGCACCCATCGTGGGACCTGACCGTAGTGGGGGAGGGTCAGTGGATGACAAGGCCTTGGGGACAGAGAAGAAAGGATGGTCTCAGAGACACTTCACAGGCCAAATCCACAGGATGTGGTGACCAACCAGCCATGGGAAGCAAAGGAGTCCAGCAGATTCCCACAGGAGGGAGGCCTCTGTCTCTTACCCCCAAGACCTTGGCTTAGTCCCCTGACATCTGAGCCACAGCTGCCTCCTCTGTAAAAGGAGGTGGGTTGTTTTTTCTTGTCCTTCTCACTTTTTTTCTTTATTGAAGTAGAAGTCCGTAACATAAAATTCACCATTTTAACTATTGCAAAGCATAAGATTCTGTGGCATTTAGTACAGTCACAGTATTGTGTGGTCATCAGCATTGTCTACTCCAGAACAACTGCATCACCCTAAAAAAGAAACCCCACCCCCAGGAGCAGTCACTCCACACGCTCCCTTCCCCTCCCTGAGCAACACCAATCTGCCCCCATCTCTGGGTTGGCCTGTTCTGGACATTTCTCACAGATGGAGTCATGCACCATGTGGTCTTTTGTGTTTGACCTCTTTCACTCAGCTTGTTTCCAAAGTTCATCCACTCTGTGGCGTGGTCAGTCCTGCATTCCCGCCATGGCTGAATAATATTTCATTGCATGGATATGCCACAGTCTGTTCACCCATTCATCTGCCGATGGGCATTTGGGATGCTGGCAGAGCAGGGTGATTTTATTCCGCCCTCAGTAGTGGGTCATGAGGATTACAAACGCTGTGAAAGCTGCCTGGATGTCAGGCCTCCGACATGATAGATTCTTCCCCCAGAAGCTGCAGCCACAGGGCAGAGCTGGGGGTGGAGGGGACGAAGAGGGGGAGAAGTACAGGAAATGAGGAACTGAAATTCGCGCAGCCACCCGAGGCTGCTGCAGACAGCGTGGGGGTGAGCTGCCGAGCATTTCCCAGCAGCCCGGCTGTGCTGTGCTGGGGAAGCCAACGCGTTGTTTTGAGGAGTGTTACTGGGGGGAAAGGAGAACCAGCACCAAAGTGTTTAATTAAATTGCAGCCTTGACCTGAGGGGGAGGCGGGCCGCACATCAGATGCCAAGGCAACACAAGCAAAAGAACAGGCAGTCTGTTTCCATGGGAACCGCTCTGGTTACCATTTCCACATCGGTGGGTCGGCCTGGATATTTGGGTTCTGTGACAGCATTTGGATTCCAACCACCCCATCTCTGGCCAAAGCCTCCATGTGGGAAAGTTGCAAATCGTATGTTCCAAGTACGAGCTCAGGACCGGGCACAATCCGGGTCAGTCACCTCCCTCCCCCGCCAGAACATGGGGAACCTGGCCAATGGCGCAGAAATTATCATGGCAGGCGAGGCTGCTTTCCTGCGTGGCCGTTAGGTGCTTATCTGACAATGGTTTGACCAACAAGACAGCTGACCTTTCTGAAAACCCATCAGTCACCTTATGCTTACAGATGTCTGCATAGATTTGGCCCAACATTGAAACGTCATCTGAAGTCTAAGATGAAAATCCTGTTCTGAGCACCATTTTCATAGCGGCCCACGCAGACCCGAAGCCTCTCTCTCCCCCATTCACCCTGCAAGAGGCTGAGAGGCCACTTTGTCCTCCAACCAGTCTGTGCAGGTAAAAGTTCAAGTTCTCAGACACTCTCGGGCTGCCTTCCCTCTTCTGGACAAAATAGGCAGACCAAACACAAACACGCAGCCACGGCACCGACAGAACATCCCCTCCCCTCATTCACCTCCTGCTAATATCACTCACACACACACAGGAAAATGCGGGTATATCGACTGTGAAAGGCATAGCTCTACCTGATCATATATGTATAGTGTGTGTGTGTGTGTGCATAGATACATGCATGTGTCTGGATGTGTGTGCATATTTGTGCACAGGTATATGTGTGGACACTAAGATGACAAAACTGGCCAGGAGAGAGCTGATACTTGAGGTTGCTGTCACCCTCAGGGTGCCATTTGTCCCCAATGGGCCAATGGCACATCTTTGCAGACTGAGGTTCAGGAGTTGAGGGTGCAGCTCCAGATGACCCCAGTGGGAGAAGCCCAAACACTCACACCAGAACCCGAGTCCCCCCCTGCAGGAGGCCTCAGCACAGCTGTCCACAACACCTCAACCTTCGGCTCCATGGCAGCCAGGTTGTGTCTGAGTTCCAAAACCCACTAGAAAATCACCCCTACTTTGTACCAGCTCTGTGAACTTTGTCTCTAAGCCTCAGTTTCCTCATCTGGAAAATGAGTCACATACCTGCCTCATAAGGTGATTGTGAGGATTAAATGGGGGGGGGGGAGTAACATGAAGGCCTTGGCTGATGGGACGGGTTATCTTCCCAGCCCACCTCTCCAGTGAAACTGCTCTCAGGTCTGCAGGGGCCTGACTGCTAAGCCCAACAGAGAGCTGTCCTAGCCTCCGCCTTCTTCACCGGCTTTCTATATCCACCGAGTTTGTGCTCACTGCTCTGGGTTTCAAAGCAGGGGCACTTCGGGGGGCCCACAGCCCTTTAGTCACTCTTACCATGAGTGTTTCTTAAGGACCTACTATGTGCCAAGCCCAGCTAAGCACTGGAGGGCACAGATTGAACCAACGAGGGTCCTAAGGCTAGCAGGGGCCGACGTTTACGGGGTGCTTACAATGTGCTGGGCACATCACACTTATACATGTTTGCATGTTTCCTGTTGATCTCCCTCTGAGGTCAGCACCGCTCACAGTCCCACTTACAGAGGCTCAGAGGTGAGGTGATAAGGAGCCAGATGACTCCTGCCCTGGAGAAAGGAAGTGTAGACCAGCAGTTCTCAAAGTGTGGTCCGCGGAACAGCAACGTCGGCGTCACCCAACAACACACCGGAACGTGAATGCACAAGCTCAGCCACTGGGGCCGCACACGGAGCCTCGGTGACCTCCCCGGGGCATTCTGAGGCCTCCACACCCTGAGAACCCC